TGTTTACCCTAGAAATATGCACCGCCGATCGGTGAAACCGAAGTACCGATCGGTACTATACATCATAAGCGGGCCTGACTCCTGATGTCTAGCTAATAAATCACTTTGCGAAAGGCTTCAAAGTTCAGATTTCATTTGAAACAATGTCGAATATTGCTCCCTTCATTGTAAACCGAGCGACTGCAGCGTTTCGCTGCCTACATTTTTTTCGATATCGATCGTGTCAATGAGCAACATGCTATTTGAGCCGCGGCCCACGTAATCCTTGACATATCCGGCATGCCGAGCATTCTCCTTCATCCAAGAGCATATTTAAGTGATCGAGCCAAGACGGCGGCAGCGGCGGCCGGCCGGGGCCGCCTCCTGCAGAGGCAGGGCGGAGCCGGGCCGTACGCCTCCACCGGCTGTCACAGGTTCGCCCTGCGATCTTATACCACGACTCAAGCACGTGCAGTTAAAGTGCGTATGCATCCCGGCCATGACGGTACGAAGGTTTACCTACTCAGCACTTACATCTTATCTTCGAGCAAGTATCTCCAAAACTACGGCTGAACTTTAAAGAAATCTCTCGGCGTAATAGAGATATTTATGCATGTCCATCGGCGCATCGGTGAATGGCCGACCTTCGTGTTGTTCTGAAACATGGTTTTAAAAGATTCCATGCCAGGAACAATGTGAAACGGAACCCTTGCATAGCGTTAGTAACGGGGAAGATGGAGTTGAAACGACGTCTGTGATGTATCGACCAGTAGGTCTAGATTCTCCCTGTTACTCCTCGTTTTCCGTGTCAAAGCTATATGACTAGCCGCAAATTTTCCCGCACTATCTTCGAACACGTAGCTCAACCTCAGGCTTTTGTCTGTAATGTTTGAAAACCAGTCCCGGCCTCATTCTATAAGCTCAATCAAAACGCCTTAGAAACCCCCGCTGTTTTAGGTCATCGGCAACTTTCGATTCAAGCACAAGCCTTCGTCTATGGTTACATATATGGTCGTTTTTATCAGCCGCGGTCAGCCTGCTATCGCAAAATTGCTCAGCCAAGCGTATGACTCATATCCTATCAATCTCTGCAGTCGACGATTCCGAAGCAGATTAGAGAATCTGCTCGAGTGAACGGCCGCTCACTGAGGTACAAAGCTCTCTTTCAACTAGACGAAAACAGAGTAAGCCACCCTTTAGGCATGACACTTCTTTCCGGGCTTGGGTCTCTCGTTTTCCACTATATCGAGATGTTGTGATTGCTCCTAAACTTGTTGGTAGGGTCCCACTTCTGCTTCACGGACCTCAGGCGTTGGAGGCTCTCCTCCCCACCCACCATCTCGGCGCTCTGAGTGCCCTCGGCGGAGCACATGTTGGCATACTCCTGGGCGGTCGAGAACGGGGCCAGCGTTTCCTTGATCTTTTTCGCATACGCTATGCCTGCATGTGGACAAGGGAAGGGTCTGGATTACAATAGAGAGCTCAATCCGGCGTTCCGCTCAACCGTGCAGTCGCGAGATACAATGGGTCCGTCTGGATACGTTCCATTTTCGGGGCATGGTAGAGGTGCCGAGATCTCTTCAGAAATCTTCGAGACCGCCAGTGATTCTGAAATGCACCGAAAGAATCTTCCCCTAAGCAAATCTGGGCGGCTCGGCGGGTCCCAGACCGTAGCCAAGAGCCTGCGAAGGGGGTTTGAGTGAGTGATCGCCCACCTTTCTCCCTGTCGCTGACGTCAGTCCAGCAGATGATGGCGTACCATGACGCCATGGTGGGCTTGCTAAGGTACAGCGGGCCATAAGCCGGCTTCTCGAAGCCCTCCCCCCCCTGGAGGTCGAGAATGAGCATCGACGGCGCCAGCTCGGGCGGGGCCCCAGAGAAGAGCTCGTCGTAAGTCTGGATGAAGTCGTCGGTGGGGAGGCCCTGTTGACAGCGGTGCGACAGCCGTGAGGAAAAGGAGAGGGAGAATATGCAGGGCAGCGTCCCTCGTGACTGTTTCTATGCGACTTGAACCATGACGAGGCGGCTTCAGTGCAATTCCTCATGTTTCGCGACGAAGGCTGCCAGGGGTGAGGGAAACGGGGATGCATGAGCAAGGTATAGAACGAAGAAGAAGAGAAACTTGCCGCAACTCGCAGGCACTCTGGCCTCTCAAGCGGAAAGAAGGTTTAGACAGAGGTCGGAAACGGCCAGGATCACGGAAGACGATCTATGGTTAATATGCGTTGGATCTTACAGTCCCTCGGTATAGAAAAGTTTATTGGCCGTGCGGCAATACGGGCTCGCAAGATGTCTTGGAGAAATGGGCAACAAACGGAGCGCTATTTGATACCAAAGCGGAAGCTCCTCCAGATGGTTCAACATCGAAACGGAACGAACTTGCAGATCGGAACCGATTATCAAACGAGGGAGCAACCAGACAGAACGAACATTCCGGTTGGCCACCTGCAGCTTGTTGCAGACCAGTGGAATGACAATTTAACACACCGGAAATTGAAACGAAGACCAGAGCCGAGCACAAGAGACCGGAACAGAACGGAACGGAACGGAACGGAACGAAACCTGCCAGCGGCCCACCTGCAGCTTGTTGGAGACCCAGTAGACGTGCACCGGCGGCATGCCGTCCAGCGGCCCCGTCATGCTGTCCTGCGTTTGCGCGTACGTCATCTGTCCGACGGTGTCCATGATCGGTCCGAGCGTCCGCAGGGGCGCCAATACTTCCGCTTTTTCCGCCGCGGATTTCGGCCCGAAGTAGTGGATCATGCACGGGAC